CTCATTATTCCCTATGCCTTCCTATGCAAAAATCGATCTACCCCCGCTTTCGTAAGAAACTTTTCCTATCATAGTCAAATAAAACGCCAACTATTATATACCATTCGATAGAGAATTTCACGAGCTACAAAATGGTATATAAAACATAAAGAAACAAGAAGACTAACTCACCTTTTGCAAAGATAATTAAACGGGAAATGGATCTGTTCTTGTCCACACTCTAATTGATCCACAATTAGAGCTCTGTCTTTCGATCACAGAGATGATAGTTCGAGGTTTTCTGGGTCGGAGAACTCTAATCCAAGCTTCGTTTGCCTTGAAATCCTACTGGTTGAGCAGTAACCAATAGAAATCAAGCTATAAAAAAAAACGACTTTCTTAGGGTAAATCAAGGCGAAGAGTTCAAATCTGAGCTGTATTCATCTCTAGATCCTATTGATTGAGCAGTAGCCAATAGAATTCAAGTGTTTTATAGAAAAGGTTTGCCAGGATAATTTTTACGTCCACACATTCTAGGATGACTCATCTGTCTCATTCACTTTTTGAAGTACACATAACTCTCGGGTTTAAATCCGAGGTTTCCACATTTATTCTGGTTAAGATCGACATGTAAAATTATAATCTCGAACTCACTTTTCTTGACCACTTTTTTCGGCCCCAGAGAAGCTTGTAAAATGAATCTAACAATAGATAGGTAACTCGTAGCGTAGCGCATACTTCAAAGCAAAGAGTTCCTAGAATGACTAGACTCAGTCTAGAATTCTGTCAGATTCAATGGGATTTGTTCGGTAAGATAGCTTCCGATAGTATGATAACATAAGTTCAAGATTTCTGCTTATCAGAAAATGAAGTAACCCCTCTTCCTCTTCTTCCGAGTTTCTTCGTATTCAATCACATTTAGGAGGTTCGTATATCTCCAAATCGTACATGGAGAAATATAATCGTATACGAAGAAATACGAAGTAAAACGAAAAGTGTTGACGAGCTTTGTTTGTCTATAAACGATCATATTTTTGCGCATACGATCACGGATTTATACGATCATATTACTGGGCGATATGAAACGCCGTATTTCTCCAATTACGAGCGTGTTTGCTTGACATGGGTTAATATTGACAACGGTTTGATGATACTCGGAAGAAATCGGATATGATGGAATGCAACAGCAACAAACAGGGGTATCCGATAACCAAAAAGTAAGAGATTATCCAATCTACTCAATACAAGTAAGTCGTTTTATACAGAACCCAAGAAGATGATCATATGTCACTGCGAAAAATTAAGCGTTTTCGATGGCACGCAGTCAAATGATTCCCACAAACCTGCTGTCTGGACATAGTTGCAACCAATGTATTAATTTATGTTGAGAAACGGAAAAGTGAAACTGACTTGCGAAAAATGGTCAAAACCACGGAAGAATTGCCGAAAATTGAAAAAGCGCAAGAAAAACTTTCTCACATGCGCAGCCATCCGAAAAAAAGGAACAAAACGCAAAAAGAACATTTAACGAATTTTGATTGTTTCTATTTCTATGTACCTACTTAGTTAGACAGTAATACTATACTCAGATACTATGCAGATAGAATATTTAGAATATTTTCCTAATGTTTTCCGGTTTTCTAATAGATAAATAAGCAGCTGCACAAAAATCGCCGAACAATTTGGAAGTTTCGTTTTTGTTTTTCTCTTTCAAGTCATATTCAATCTATACTGATAACGTACGAGTTTTGTCGAATCTGTAGTACTATAGTGTCGGTGAGTTTTAGTTTTCTTCGAAAGGAAACTGTACGCCTCTTTTTCTCCTCTTTTTTTTTCAAGAATGCTGGGCATCTTTTTTTCTCTTTTTTTTTTACAAAGTGTTGGTGAAGTGCCAGATCTATTTCCAAATACTTTTTCACATGATAACACTTATCTTTCTCTAAAAGATAACGTAATTTGATCAATAACTTCATATTAGTTTGTTGTAGATACTATCGATTTATAGAGAGTGGTCGAAACTTTTGAATCACCCTTTCGAGAATTTTAACATTGAACAGAGCCTATCTGAGCCTCTTTTATCTCCTCAATCTAAGACGGTTCGAGCCTACTCAAGCTTTTTCATATGTTTAATTTAGGATAATTCGAATCTGTCCAAGCCTTTATCTGTCCCAGTTTGAGCCTACCCAAGCCTACCCGACTCCAATCTAGGGTAGGCTCGAGCCTACCCAGGCCTCGTGGCTCTGCCGCCTATGGTAAGAATGAGCAGCGAAATAATACCACGTGTAGATGTGATATCCTATAGATATAATGCTAATAGATTTCCACTAATAACGAATGTATTTTATTTATGTGAAGAGATATGAATAAAAACATGATTTGTTTTCATTATTTCTAATACTATATATAATAAAATATTTATAGAATTCAAAAATGTTTGTTCTTGTTATGTGTATTATAGTTTAATAGAATTTATCACATACAACTAAATGTTATAATAGTATAACAAGAAAACAATCAAAAAATGTGCCTATCAGGCATGCAATGAGTAGAAATAGAATTCAAAAAATATATACATGCACATGACTGAAATGAGAAAATATAAACATATACTAGTTTTTATGTATTAATAATTCGATATTGTACATAAACATGATATGGTGGTTTTGTTAGATCATTATCATTATTCAATTGATATATCGTAAGTCAAAGATTATTGAATGAATCAATATAAATTATCTAATAGTTTAAAACAATATAGGAAACATTATTATTTACATAAATTAAAAAGTAAACATACTTATTTTTTGTTGAATGCAATAATTTTCATTTATAATAATAAAAGTCAACACGATGATATGGTTTATATTCAAGAAGTTTTTTTTGAAATATAATATATATAAGTAAATGAACGTCTTAATATTGAAATATAAAACTTTTTTTATTTTAACAGCAGCGAAAATGTTTTCTAATTGACAATATCAGCTAAGAAAGACTGCCGAAAATGACACAACTCACATTTGCAAGTTATTTTCGATCTATCTCGTTTAGATCGAAGATAAAAAGAAAAAGAATGTATAATGATGTCATCGTATAGTAAAAACAATAGTTTGCTAGTTATAAACAGCCTATATGCATACTATACGAAGAACGAAAAACATTCAATGGTCGTGTTGTATGTATCACTATATAATAGTCCCAACGTAATTGCACAATATCAGTTGGTTCCATCATAAAGATAGTCTATATAGAATTTACCTTTGCAGTTTTTCTGCAAAAGTAAATTCTGTCATTTTCGATAGTCTTTCTTAGCTGATATTGTCAATTAGAAAACATTTTCGCTGATGTTAAAATAAAAAAAGTTTTATATTTCAATATTAAGTCGTTCATTTACTTATATCGGTTTCATCTTACTGTCATTGACAGCCTACACCCACATCCACACCCATACCTGCACCCATACTGACACCTATACTCTAGATCCACACTCCACACCCAAACCTACGCCCACACACCCGTACCCACCCCATAGTGCACACTGAACAGGTTCTTTATAGTAGCATTTTTTTGCAGATCTAGTACTGATATGAATGTGAGCTGGTGTGGGTTTGGATGACGAGAAGATCCACACCCTTACATAAGATTGGATCTTCTTTCGAAAGCAAACCCTACATACACGATAACGAGATACTGTGGGAGAAAAAAAAGCAGATTTTAATATTGACTTGGTTATATTGACTACTTGCGATAAGACTCCTCTCTTGTGCTCTCTGTTTGCCAATAAAATATCGCTTCTGTTGTTTGACTATATTCATATTATGCACTTCGTCATAAATGTTTGACGAACTTAAAGGTACGATATAGACACCGTCGTCTGTTTGCCAAGATTGTGTTGCAAAAGATCAATTTTTTTCAAGAGAAAAACGGCAGACTCCAATCCTTTGGATTCTCTTGAAGTCCGTCGGAGTCCTTTGAAGTCTCATAAAATACTCAGTAGCTCTGCAAAAGCTTATCATAAAAATCTAAGACAGCTGCAGCTTGTGTATGGATGTCAGTGGATGTGAGTTTTCTCTTCACGCACATACTTACCCGCCCGCCCACGGCCAGATCCACATTCACACTTACACCCACCCAACCCCAAAAGAATGATAGAAATTTTCTTTGTTTTTTTTTAGGGAAATGTAAATTGTGCTTCATTTGTAGCAGGTATTATTGAAGCTGTGTTATGTTTGAATGGTTTTACATGTTAAGTTCTCGCTCAGCAAGAACCGCGTGGCACAATTTATCTAATTAATTTTTTCAAATCGGTAACGAAATAGGAAAGTTGATTTGATAGTGAATGAACACATAATTAATTAAAGTAAATTAGTTCTTTTTAAAGATCAAATTTGAAATTTTTCGTTGATTTCTTCCAGATGTATGCCAAGAGGTGGGTAAAAATAAATAAATAATGATAACTTCAACTTCTATGAATTAGATAATCAAGAATTAGAACAACAATTAAATCATGTGATGAATATGAATGACAAAAACAATTTGTTATTCTTCTTTTAAATGAATATGAACTTGAACATGAATATCATAAAGAACAATTAAAACAATTACCAAATCCTCATATCAAGTAAAAATAAGGTTTTCTTTTAAATTAATTTTTAAAAAAATTCTATTTTAGTGATGATAAACGACGCCAAGCGAAATTTCAAGAATTAGCATTAGAATATGAACGTAATAAACAGGTCTTAACAGCACGTATTAAACAATTACAATGTAAAATTGATTTGCTAGTTAAAGAAAACAAACAACAACGAATAGTAATTATTTAGACATTGTCCCTTTTTTCCATATATCATACTGATATTAATATTTAGATATGTCATCATCAGATGGAGAAGTGATTGAAACAATTTCTAAATTTCACTCTAAATCACGTTAATTATCATGAACAGTTTCTCAAGCACCACTTCTAGCAAATGAATCCTCACCACTATCATCTAATTCTGAAAAATCATCTATATTAACAACAGGTGTTATTCACCATTCAACTATGATTTTAACATCATCATCAAAAAATGCTCATGATGTAATAACAAAAATAGGAATTGTTCCTCCATCAATTCTAACATGTACACAATAAACATCATCTATTCTTGAATTACCTTTATTACTGGTACCTATTGTTGATAAACGTAATGTTATACCTACTCAGTCAATATCAAATGTTTTTTAATCTCCAATCACGTCAAATCTTCATTCATCACTAAGAAATAGTCAAACATCAATATCATCTATTCGATCGGTTCATCAACAACAAGAAATAATGTAATATGTAGTGTTGGTGATATCTCACGTTTACCAAAAACTTCATATCAAATTGTTATAACAACAGCAACTGGTCTAGCAAAGTGACCTGACCATGTAAATCAATGAAGTTTTTTACTTATCTAATAAAGAAAAGAAACGATAGTTAAATAATTCAATGCATGGCTTCTTATTTTTTCTTTTACTATTTATTTCGAGATAAAAAAGGATTAGTCTTGTAGGTCTGTATTCTTTTCTCTCCATCTTGTAGAAAAGCTTTTCGTCAGAACACAAAATTGATGATCCGTGAACTCTTTCGTCCATCTACCCATGTAACCATGAAACGCATTTTAGATGCAGCTAGACACGTTAATGTTGCAAATCTTCGGCGTTCTAACGCGCTTTTATATTGAAGCATGACAAAAATGCATCAATCACTGTGTTTCCCGAATGTGTTTAGAGAAAATTCGTAGTTTCGGAGCATATTTTTAGACTAAATGCATAAAAACGTATTTAACCTTTTATTATGAAACGGGTTGGGACGCATTCATATCATTTTATGCCTCTGATCACGTTTTATGGTGGAAAGAAGCTATGTCTCTTCCACTAACGCTATTTAATCGACAGCGTCGGTAAAACGCGTTTCATTGAATGCTTCCGTCAATCTGTCGAATTTGCGGAAAGGCATTTGGATCCACTGCTTTCTGGAATGCAGTTGAACATATAGTTATATAGTTTAGTTGATGAGGATAAATACTTTAATATTGTGATTGGAGGAAATTCTATTGTGTAATTATATTAGATTTAGAAGTTAATAGCTGAAAGAAAAAGTTGAATTTCTAATTGATTTGGATAAACATATTAGCTTTGTATTAACCATTTGAACAAGAATAAGAAGCCGAAGAATATTTCTATAAATTGTTCTTTATGATACATATTTTAAGCAGGATAATTTTTCACAAATATCTCTTTAAGTTTTCAATCGATAATTATTATCTTGTTTTCGTTATTTCTGCGTACAGCGATTAAAAATTCATACAAACCGATCTAAGTTTTCAATACGGACCTGATGAGGAGACGCTATACGAACGAGAACCTATCTATTTTTATTGAAATTAGAATAACTCAATGATATTCTTTTTATCACTCATGTATCCATACTTGAACTCCTAAAGTGTCCCTGAATGTCTACAAGCTATGCAACTTGACACTTTTGAACACATCCAAAATGCAACATTTTCGGAACTCTGAACGCGTTTGAAAAGAATAAACGTAACTTCCTACATTCCAGTTCTACAGAATCCTAACTTGTTTATATCAAAAGGTGCTGCTTGAACGCGTCCAACATGCAACATTTTAAGGCGTGTAAACTCGTCTCTGTTGAAAACGTACTGATATACGTGTTCTGACTTTTCTACTTATGATACTATCAGGAAACAAATGCGTTTACTTTATTCTTAAAAAAGTCAGAAAATAGTCATCACCTTGCGTCAGAATCAGACCAGAGTTTAGCATTCAGACTACATCACTATCATTAAAATATAATTAAATTGGGTTTGATTGAACAGATTAATCATATAAATCAGTGCGTCTATGATAATAGATTGCTATCTGCAGATCTCTTACTGAAAATATTTAATTTGTATCGAAATTATATGTCTCGCTCTACGTTACTTCTAAAATACTTAAGTATGAGCAGACGGTAGATTATAATCTTAAAGTTATTGCCCACTTCATCATTTATTTCCTAGGCAAACAAATAAATCCTTTGAATATGATACTTTTATTGCAACTATTTCATTTTATTGAAATTTCACTAGTGCTTTTTCAAATAGAGTTGTTGGCTTATCTTTATTGTGCTCCATAATAAAATGACTTGAAATGAAACTTTTAGATTCATGCAATAAAGATAAATACATTACGAAATTTTATTACTTATAAACATAAAGACAAATAGTTTTTTTACATTTTATGCTTTTAAGAAAAAGATAAATGAATATTTTATTCATAAGACTAAAGAAAGTTAAATGAAAATGACGGTTTATTTCTAAATAAAAACTTAATATTTTACTTTCCTCCAGATACCTAAAAGAATTTTGATATCATAATCACAAAAAATTACATAGACAAGAATATTTGCATATATTTTTTCTTCTAGTGTCTTCACTTTTTATTAACATTGAATATTGAGATGCTAATAGTAAGAAAAAAATGTAAATTAATGCCTTTATACCATATATTTATATATTTATTCATCATAAATCGAGATTTTTTATTCTGTAATTTTTATTTTTTTGATACAAAAAAATTTTTTTCTTAATTGAAATTTTTTTCTAAATATCAAGAATATGTTTATCTTAATTTTTTTCGATAAATATATTATTTATATTTATTTCACGAAGTAAAAATCTAACAGCTCTATTCGCAAAGTTGTAACAAGTAATGTTATACGAACTAATGATGCGATTAATGAACATAGAAACGAGTTCGAGCTGTCTTTAGCTCAGAGCTGGTTGTATTTGGTTCGTGATCGACTGATCTTGTATTGAAATCTTCGTTCAAACTATGATTGGAAAAATTACCATTTTGTTACTCATAGGATTTGAGTGTTATATCATAACTGGCTATGATGCGTCGGTTCGATTCCGACACAGAACGATGGTTATTTTTGAATTTTTTGAGGGACAAAAAATAAACGCGTCACGATGCGTTCATCTCTTACTGCATCCAAATGCAGCAAAATCTGAAAACACGTCGTAATTCGTCTGCGAGATAGACGAGTTTGTACGTGTTTCAGTTTTTGAATGCGTCCACATGCTTGAAATTGTTGCATTTTGGACGCGTTCAAGATCGAAAAATGGTTACCTGGAATGCTTTTTGTATTTGTGCGAATATTTATCACTGAGATTCTTCTTGCGCTTCTAATATATATATACTAATAATGTTAATTATATCTTCTTGATTAAACTTTTTTATGTTTTATTTCTATTTATTTATTTTTAGTTGCTGAAAATCGTGTTATTTTCACATTTCGATTCCATCCTTTTTAGAGTTACTGGAAAAGGAGACACAGATATTGGATTGATTATTGAAGTTTCTTAAACTTGGACCTAATCCAAATAATCAAATGATTGATAGAAATACATGTCTTCATCTATCTGAAATCTAATGGTCAGATTGGGTAAAATCTTTCGAATTAATTAAACATGAATTATAATCTTTTCTAATTTAGATGTATTTGCCATTTACTTAAACTTTATGTTAATTCATTACTTGAAAATAATCTTGGTTTAATATCGGGAACCGGAACGATGAGCACGGAAACTTAAGCACCGATACTTAAGCACGGGAATGATAAGCACGAGAACGATCAGCACAGGAAAGATAAGCACATGGAAACTTCAGCACAAGGAAAGCTAAGCACGAGAACGTTCAGCACCGAAAACTTAAGCACGAAAAAAATCTAAATGAATATATGTCTATTGAAATAAAGATAAATGAATGTGTATGTTAATGAGATCAAAGATAAAAATTTAAATACGCAATCTTAATAGGTTTACGTTCTTTTAATTACTAACCTTAATGAACAGAAATAAGATAATTATTCACATTTATATATATAAGACGGAACAATTTTTTCGTTTGACATTTTTAATTTCTTCAACATGGCAACAATATCCAATCACGGTACAACAAAACAAAAACCACGTCTTGATTATAATGGTTATTCTTATGTTAAAGACCGAACAACAAATGGAAAAATTTATTGGCGTTGTATTAAATATTCATCACATCATTGCCACTCGCGATAACATACATGCATTATCACAAATAATATCATAAAACCACCAACTGAACATACGTGCAAATTTGATGGTACAACTGTAGAACTTCGTAACTTTGATGAAAAGATTATTGATCGTGCTTGCAATACACAAGAAACACCAGATATTATTATTAGTAATTGTTTCAGAGGTAAAAGTATCTTTTTTTTCTCAGTAATATTTTTTGTAATAAATGTTTCCATCGTTTCTACTAGGCATGTCTGATGAAGGAATTACTCGTTTACCAACTCGAGAAAATATAAAACGTCGAATTAGAAAATTACGTTATAATAATGATTTTATTTCACCACCAAACGATGCAAATTTTATATCAATTCCAACTATATTATGTAAAACTCTACGTCAAGCTCAATTCTTACGTTGTGATACTGGTCCAGGTATGTCATTCAATATATCCGTCGTCACATAATAGATTTTTGTCGTTTACTTTTATAGGTGATGATAGAATAATAATATTCTCAAGTGATGAACAAATTAATATTCTTCAATCCACGCATCATTTTTTAGCTGATGGCACATTTAAAGTAGTACCTGGAATATTTTATCGATTATATATTACACACGCAATATATCGTGATCATGTTATTCCAGTCATATATGCATTATTACGTCGTAAGGACACTGGTGCATATCGTCGATTAATTAATGAAATTCTTAAAATTGCACCACAATGGACTCCTCATTCTATCATGATTGGCTTTGAAAAGGCATGCATTAATGTTTATGAAGAAATTTTTCCAAATATTGCAGTATCTGGTTGTTATTTTCATTTACAACAGAATCTTTATCGTAAATTACAAGTATTGTATTAATCATTATAAAGAACTAATGTTGATTTTACGCTTGTTTTCCATTTAGGATTTAGGATGGCAAAATAGATATCAAACAGATTCTATTTTTGCACACAATATTCATAAATTTGGTGCATTAGTATTTTTAGAAATAAATAATGTCATTAAAGGTTTTGAAAGTTTATCGATGGATCTTGAAGAAGATTATCAAGAAATGATTGATTATTTCGAAGAAACATATATTGGTAAGATTGTTTCTCTTTCGAAGTTAATAATCTTTCGATAAATCTGTTTTAGGACGGCTGCAGCCAAATCACACAAGAAGAAAAGCTACATTCGATATTCATTTGTGGAACATGCATAGTAGAACTTCAACATCATCTATGAGAACAAATAACTCGGCTGAAGCTTATCATCGTCGAATTGGCTCAGTTTTTCAATGTGCTCATCCAACACTCTGGGTATTCTTACAAAAATTAATTGATGAAGAAAATGTTACTCATGCTGATATATTACAAATAAATGCTGGTCAACCACCAAAAATGAAGAAAAAAAACCAACGCTTTGAAAAACGCTTATTACACCTTATTTCAACACCTCATTCAGATATTCTAATTCAAATTGATTCAATTGCACATAATATTTCATTTAGAGGCCTGCAGGTTAAGGTATTTTGACAACCTGTAACCTGCCCTGCTGAGATTTTGGCAACCTGTAACCTACCCTGCCCTGTGAATTTTTTTCGTACCCTGCCCTGCCCTGCCCTGCTGATATTTTGGCAACCTGTAACCTGCCCTGCCCTGCCCTGCTTTGTCTAACACTACAGAAAAATCGAAACTTTCATGTCAATTTTATATGCAATTTCATCCACTTTATTTCAGAGATAAGGCGAAAAAGCAATGCCACATATCCCGAAAATTTTTAATCATCAAAATATCAATAATACCATCTGGAGTTAATGGTTATCTTCTTTTTTTTCGTTCAACATCTTTTTCTGAATATGACATGGACGATATTTTACAAGCACGAAAATCTGACTAATATTGTTGATGATATTTGAGAGATTAATTTATGATGAAAATGTAGAAAAGTATAAGATACAACTCAAAATTAGAGAAATCAACGTGCATTTGAGTAGCTATATGAACAAAGAATAGTTTTGCAATCCAGGGACTAGAAAAACCAAGAAATTTATTAGAATGATGGAACGAACATAAAAATTGATGTCTTTCAGATTCCTTGATTAAAATTGAAATTTTCATTAATATAATTCTATAATTTTGTTTACAAATCAAATTCATTTCATTTGCTTTATTAAAATGTTCCTTTTAATCAACGGACTTCAAATACACCAATTTTCATGTCCGGTTCACCAATCGAATCACCTCTTTTTTTCGTGTTTTTGATATAAAATTCACGAAAGTCATGAAACTTTCTGGATTTATACGTCCATGAGAATCCTTCTATTTCTGTTAAATATCTTGGCAAACACTTTAATTTGGTTATCAGCTTACTTCTATTCTTTTCTTTATGTATAACTTTAGAAAAGATGTTGACAATATCTGATATGTAAAATTTGTCGCAGGTTGACAGGTTACGACATACATAACCTGCAACCTGCCCTGTAAAAATTTTCGTAACCTTACCCTGCCCTGCCCTGTTCCTAGCGTAACCTGCAGGGCTCTAATTTCATTGTAATTAGTTTTGTTAAATGTAATATGTATTTGTTTGTCTTTCAATAGACTTATATTTATTTAGATTTTTTTCGTGCTTAAGTTTTCGGTGCTGATCGTTCTCGTGCTTATCATTTCCGTGCTTAAGTATCCGTGCTTAAGTTTCCGTGCTCATCGTTCCTCGTGCTCATCGTTCACCAATCCAGAATTTAATAATATCATTATCATTGTAAATAATATCATAATAATAATAAACCCGGGTATTTAAATACATTGTAATGCATTATAATAATACAACTCGAGTGTATGATTTCATAATGATGTATGCATGTTTTTATATACTCAGGGATTAATTGACCGATGTTCAAAATTTTGATTGATTTTTTTATCAATCATTCTACTTCTGTTTTAATTGATTTGATGATTTTTTTTCTCGTCTGACATACATCTATATCATGTCATCGTCGACGAAAAAAAATTTTCATGTTACATATATATAGAGGGTGTTGTCTTTCTCCTTCACATTGCTCGTCTTCAAATAAGAATACAAGACAAGAGAATTCATCAACTCGAGTAACTTAAAAAATAGGTATGTTTTGTTTTTACAAAATGTGATCTTTATTTTAAGAATGTCTGAAATATATACATGTCTAAATTATATAGAATAAGATAGCGTTTGTCTCTCTACTGAACAATATATTTTTTATTGGACATCTTCATTATCTTCAATATATATGTATTTGAGAAATTTCTGAGAAATTTTTGCGTAAACTTTTTTCACGTATATTTTTTCGACTTTTCTTTAAAGAAATGTTAGTTGTACAAAAATTGAAATTTCTACACATTTAAGATTGATGAATTTCTTTCATTTCAATTGATTTTCATTAGAAAATAGTGCTTCTCAGGATATATCTAATTTTTGTCCAGAATGTATCAACTTGTACATAACAAACTATAAATGATGTGTATTCACTTATATTGTCATATTCATCGATATAGTAATGAATATATAAACAGCTATGAATTCATCACAAAATAGTCTCCTGATGATAGAGTATATCATATTTGTATTCTTTAAATTTTCAAGATTTATCGATGAAAACAAAATTCATCATTATAAACATTTTGAACAAACAACTGTAATGTAAAAGCAATATTATTTCTAGATTTTTATACGAAACTGTATATCAGACAAAGTATTAGATTAAAGCGGCATTTTTCGTTTAGATTTAATGAACGTTATTCCCTTTACATGTTCCACTTTCTTAATTGAATTATTAATAAGTATTTTGACATTGTTGAATGAAAGAGATAACTGCTTTTAATTACCTGACAAAGTACTCTCTATGAAGTAATGTCATTTAATTAGAATGAAATGAAGTATTTTCTAAGAGAGACAATAATGATAGCAGTAGAGCATTTGATGAATGTCTTCATGTATTTCTCATTACATTTCTCTTGTGTAAAAATTATTCGACAGATACAACAATTTCATTTTGTTTTCAGTGTAGATATTTAAGTTTTTATAAAAAATTCAATGTTGGTTTTTTATTAGAAAATGATTAAACTATAGTTGCTTGAGAAATTGTACATTTTGTTTTTATTCAGATCTCCTATCATACAGTTGTTGTTGTATTCTGTATTTCGATTATAGGTGTAGAGTGAGGTGTTACACTAAAAAAAAAAGAAAACATGCTGAATCACTTATTGGAATATTTTCTCGTTAAGGATAAATTCATATTCTGACGAATATTCGTTTTCTATGATTTTCTAAAGATAATTGATATTTTTATCGAGTATTTGTGGGATATAGAGTTTTATTGTGAGTTCATTGAAAAATATCTCAGAATTTTCATATATAAAATTATGTTTAGATTAATTATTTGAGTCTATAAAAGAAATCTCAGTAGTAATAATAAATAAATTAATGAATCACATTTTCTTTTTCTCATTAGACATATATACATGGTTTTTTGTTATGATTGAAAGTATAAGTGAATCTATGAGACATAGAAGAGATTTAAAGAAAATTGCAAACCTCTTTCGAGTAAATGATATCGTCCTTATAATTTTTATGAGAAATTTCTACTAATAAAAAAGCTTTTAATAAAAGATTTTTTGTAAAGCTAAACAACGAGTCTTTTGGTAAAATCCACAAATAGACGAATTCTTTATCAGTATTTCAGTGAATGTTGTTTTAATATTAACCTCTTTATATATCTTGTTGAGTCTGACACTACACTGTTATTCTTCAACATGAATATAGACAATTTATTAGTAACAAAAATATCAGTTTGAATAAAAGATTCTAGTTGCTTTACTTTTTACTTATGAAATAGGAACAATGTTTGACCTTTTTACTGTTAGAAAAGAATAATTGAGAAAGTTCGTTTACAGGAAAAAATAAATTTCGATTAGAAATTTAAAACTTGTAATTTTTGTATAATTATGACCTGATAAATACTGTTGAAAGTTGTGCGTGTAAATTTTCTTTTGAGAATGAATCGAATGAATCATTTATTGCTTTTGCTCGAAAGCAATCTTTTTACTTTTCTTCTTTATCTATATTTTGTTTTATTTAATATTTAATTGTAATATAGAAGATAACAGAGGGGTGTGAATCTGATGAGCTCTTCTTGTTAGCTCATACCTAAATGCTTTAAGGATTTAGTAGATGCGTTCATTGAATACTAAAAGATTTATCTCATTGAATTAGTTTTCTTTAATAGAGGTTTTTTTCTTTTACTTTTCTACTAATATTTTTGTTTATCAATGAGAATTTTGATAAAAATGAATAGACGAATCAATTGGATACATTAAATTTGTATCAATTAATATTATACGGTTTTTACCATTTATATAAGCCGAATCAATAGTAAAAAAAATAGAGTTGATGATTACGAAGATGATATAAAAATTCAATTATGTATTATAGAAAGTTTTTACGGAAGAATAATTTTAATTTAGACATATATATGTACTGATCTGTCATAAACTTCTCTTTTTGTATAGCTTACATTGTACACATTTTTCTCTGACGAAAATCACACAGCTCATTTAATAATAAAATTCAATACTGTTATTTTTGTTTTTTTCTCCCACTGTATAACAATCATATTTTGATTTACGTAATCTAACATATGAACACACATGATGTTGTTGAACATTGAAATCAAGTTCAACATGCTCTTGAAATAAGTGTTTACAGAGATTATTGATATTGAAGTGAGGAACGTATTTATACGTTCAATCTCACTCACTCATTATTCCTAAAAACACTCAACATTTTCATGGATCACATATTAATGTCATAAGTGTAGAGTTTTTGTGATATAAGTGCTAGAATAATGCATCAAAGGTATGAGATTCCTTCAAAACACTTCGAAAAAGACAAATTTCCAAATGATAAATCAATTATAAAAATAGCTAAGAATTCATTCGAAAGGTTTTTGTTCCATAAAAGTCAAAAATAAATATATTGATAACTATTCTTATATGACATTGAAAATAATTCATCATTTTATATCATTGAAAAAACTATTCTTTGTTTCATCGAAATTGTTTCGTTATTGATCTGAATTAGATTTACTTCAATAAAAAATATAGTAATGTGTTGAAACTTTTTCAAATTCATATTACATATAGTTAGTTTCTGAAGAAAGACCGATCAATTCCATCTTAGTTTTCTACAATGAGAAAATATTTTTCGATTTTATCTTCTAATATTATTTATTGAAACATTTTTGAATAGAAACAATAGGATATTCTAGATTGTTTTTCTCTATAATCGATTTAGACACGTTAACTATACCAAATAGACCACAAAGTAAGATAGAATACAAGTAGTAATGAGTAAATTATGAGCTAAGGTGTAGATTGTTGGTGTCTATGAAAATACGCTCACCTACACGCACATCTTCATTATTCTGTTGTCTTAATTTTTGGTTTGAAGGAAATTGATATACTAAACTTGCATTATAAACCCCCCGACACATTAGAAGACCCCCCACCCCTATAGTAGAGATGACCCTCTCTTGAATCAACAACCCAAAGGATAGATTAGAGGACCTGCTCGCCTGCTTCTAAGGGGATCGTCAGAGGAGATGGGTGGGTCTTCTCATCTATCCTTCACTTCGTTGATTCAAGGGAGGGCCATCTCTGCTACAGGGGTGGGGGGTCTTCTAATGTGTCGGGGGGTTTAATCTTTTCTGAGTAGAGTTCAAGAACAAATGACAACATCAATGCAATTTTAATCATACAACTTTCAGCACCACTCAAAACTCCTTTACAAATATAACTCTAAAAACTCTATCTAGACGTGATATTCATTCTCTCTGAGTTTTGTTTCATTTTAAGTGCTTCACTTTTTGTTAAACTAGTCGTTATCTTTATTGTCAACAGAAAGCAAAATAAAAAGCAATTCATTACAAAAAAACTTAATAAACAATGTCATGCCTTGCTTTCTTTTTATGATATCTAAGAGTTTCTCTTGTTCTCACCTTATATTACCATAAGTATTTGTATACATAGAAACAGGTCAATAGACATCATTGTTTGAAAATGTATGATGAATTTCTGTATTAGTAGGTTAATTTTTTAGTCAATTGAGAGTCTAATATCGTGCGAACGCGATGAAAGCATAGATAAAATGTTACTATTGATGTTCTTCTACTATTCTTGAGATGTGGGTGTGTGAATGTAAGTGAAGAGAAGATAAACACCCACACCCTACATAAAGATCTTAATTAGACTAGCTTGTATAAAAAATTTCAGAATTTTTGGACTAAGTCTCTCCGAGATATGGAGCTTTCAAGATGTAGGCCGTTTTTCATATATAGTATAGACAGCATGTATTTTTAAGAGCTTCGTATCTCGGAGAGTCTTAGTCCAAAAATTCTGAAATTTTTTATGCAAGCTAGTCTAATTGAGATCTTTATGTGGGCAAAGTTTCAGGTCGAAATTCAAAAATATGGTCTTGCTGCAAAACTAGAGCCCTATAGCGAAAATTCACTAAAAACGTTTGATCTCTTCAGAAACAAGCCATAAGCACGAACTCTTTTTACCATATAGATTATAACCAATTGACAATAGTAACAATGAATTTCATACGAGACGGAACGTGACATGATTGTTCGAAAGTGAAATGTTGATGATTTTAATAAAAATATATTATGCTAAAGCTCTTATATTATTATTATAAAAAAAATTTAAAAAAAAGAGTAAGAAATATGAATTATTTACGATTGGGAGTTGTATTCTATAAACGATATTTCCATTTGGAAAATTATTCATATTATTCTATTCGTTTTGTATTTCTAAGTAAAACTATGTAGGTTAATGACAATTTGAACACTGAAAAATACCTGAATCTATCTTATGTTTGTACGATCAGCGACTAAGATGATATTTTATTGTTCTGATATTATTAATAATAATTTGATATAATAACAAAAGTTGTCTGTTGTTCACAGTTTCCAAATAAATAAATTAAAGAGCAAAATAGAAATAGAATCTGACCAATTAATATGTTCGATATTAAATCATATTATTCTTAATAGTTGTAATACGCATTATTGATTTATCAACTAGATCACGAATAAAAATCCGTATAAAAACACGATATTCTCTTTGAATTTATAAAAAATGAGGAGCACAAATTAAAAATAATCCGACAATGTGTTGCACATACAATTCATTTATAAATTGCTTCTTTAGTACCTAATCATGACTATTGAATGTAACAAAGTATTCGATTTTTCTTTTGCTTGTACATTCGTTTTATATTCACAAGAATTTTCTGATCCAAAATATAGAACAACTAACATGTAAATCAACTCCCTCTATTTTATTATCCAATTGGTTTATCAAAACTATCCAATCAATGACTATTTTGTGTTATTTCCATGTTAAGTTAACTTGCTTAACGTTTTTCTTCTTCTATTTCTCATAAACCCCCCTAAAAAAAATATGGATAATGATGACGAACATGTTGCAGGCGATATTTTCCTGCATTCAATGACAACAGATGTAACACGACGTAGAACATTTTTTGAACATTTTCAACGCTTTGTACCACAACAAACTATTATTTACATACAATATTGTTTATTACGTATTCCATTTATACTTATTTATGATTATTTATTTACAGAAAAATTTTCATCTGTAATTGAATATATATTAAAATATTCAATTCAATCTATTGATTATCATAATCATTTAATTCTTAAGCCAATAAGTTATTTATTACATAGTTCTTTATTTCATATATTATTACAAATTTATTTACTTCTTTTAATACCTATTCTAGGTAAAGTAATTAGAAATCAAATATATTAGAGAATTATGAAAATTTTCGTCTATTAAGCCTTGTTAAACAATTTGTATTGATGAATTTTAAATTTGATAAATAAATGATGGAGTTAAGATCGAAATATTGAAAAAAGTCATAATTCTATCGACAGATCTATATGATATTTTTAAGTATTTTGATTGTAGCGCTGTCATTTATTCGTCAATTTTGAATTTTGATCAGTATAGATAGCTCCAAAAAATGTAATTGATGAAAAAATTTTCTGAAAATCATTTGTTTCATACATCTGACTACCCTTTGTACACCATAATATGACTCACGGGTGCGTCATATCGTTGAGAAGATACTAATGATGAGTCAGATTTTTTAAAATATTAAAATGACTTTGACAAAGACATCCTAAGGAAACATAAATGAGTTTTCTTAATAAACTGACATAATATAATCTGATGTACTAGATTGAATATTAAAAATAAGAAAGTTTTGTTTGTCGAATTTTAAAGAATATCTAATAAAAAGTACAAAATTTATTGTTGTTTCAATAGATTATTCTAATTAATTTGCAAATTTTACTTCAATCTTATTTAAAAAATATATACCCAATACGTAATTCATACATTTCAAGATTAATCGACTGTCAAACAAACGATCTATCTTAGTCATTTTTCTTAAATTACTTTTATTATTATTCTAACTATCCACTAGTCATCATCTTTAATGTCTTGAATATAATTAGCTTTTTTTTTTGCAAGAAACTCTTTAGAATATTCTCAAACTATCGAAACCTTGTAGTTAATGCCGTTCAGCATCTTCAAGGAACTATAAAAAAAATGAGTCTGGTACCTGTTTTTTTCTTGATTACGATAAGAATGTACCCACTAACCTTTGATCGGTATACCAAAGTCTATTGTGAGTGCTTCTGTCAACAACTTAAAAATCAGTAGTGTGTACTTTGATTGTCATGTATTGATTCAGGTTGAAATGGAAGGAGAAAAAAGCCAGATAACATCATCTTATAAATTACACTTATTTCACAAAAAACGAAGGACTTCATCGGGTTTAAAATTTTCGGACTCGGACCCGATGGTTTCTAATTACAACTTACTGAATTTCGATGAAATGAAGATTGTTGATTATTAGGAATAAAAGAATAGTTTGACTGATAAGTATCAAATCTAGAGTTGTGCATTGAACTCCGCCGAAGTCAGATTAATTTCAGAGATGTCTAACAAAAAGAAAATCAAATTATTTAATGTGTTTAATTTTAATAATATTTGTTTTCATTAGGTCTTATTCTATTGATACTATTATTACTATGTTCCGATAGACGTCTTGTGATATTTTATAGTTATACTATATCATTACTTGTAATTTATTTTGATTATCAAATGAGTTATAAAACAGATATTCAAAGTTCATCATCAATAAATACATATATTCTACAATTTTTATTATCATCTATTTATATTCAAATGCTCAATATTCGTCCACGTGTACGTTCATTTAAAATTCAAACATATGTATGTCATTTAGCACCATTTGTATTGATAGTAACACGTTATTTAATATCAACAGATTATAATAAATTTATATTAAAATTTTATTATATAATATGGACATTTATACATCTTTCTGAATTATTTATTTGTCATCAAGAAACAATAATAAATATAATATATAATCGTTTTCTACATGATCTTTATAATTTATATGGAAATTTTGGTTTACAAACATTAATTAATTATTTACAAACACGTATACATATAAATACATTATTAAAAATTTTTTGGTTAACAAAAATTATTGTTTTACCATTAGGTATAAGAACAATATATACAAATCCATATATATCAAATATAAATATAACAAATTTAAATGATAATATTACATTAGATGATAAACAAATAAATTATAATGTAACTTTAGTAAAAACAATTTATTTTACAAGTTTATTTTATGGAACAGAAACTATTTTTACGTAAGAAAATTTTTTGAATAATTTAAGATTTTAATTAAATTAAATTGAGTTTAGAGAAATAAAATGAATACTTTTTGGATTTTATGATAAACTAAATTAAGAAATAGACTTTTGCTTTTTTTTATTTATGTAAATGTAACATACGATAGAATATTTATTATGTGAATAAAATCTGATTATAAAAAGATCAAGAATTTGAATTTTTGTCTAAATCTAAAACAGAATGAAAATTTTCTAATAGTCAATACAAATCTCTTATGAAATTATATTCAGTTTAGGGAACAAAATGATATATCTTGAAAGATAATACGATATTTAATACAAATTCTGAAAAAAAAACGGTAACAAAATCAATATTTATATTAGGATTATTTTTGTGAAACACAATCTGAGAGAAATATTGGAGTATAAAAGTAGAAATTTGAACACCTTAGCAATGCCTTTATCTGTGAAAGACTAACAAGGGAAGTCCTTCAAGTGATTAGTCGCTTTTGAATCGAGACTATGTGCATCATGTAGACTCAAATGAGCTATGAAAATTAAAAAAAAAGAGTTCAGGTCCGTAGCTTATTGCTGCATCAGACCGATTCTAGCTCTGTACACCGGTAAATTCGATGTTCTTACTTCAGAATAGAAGCAAATCAAAGGATCTGAAACCTTTACAATAAACTATTCTAGTTAAGATCTGTCTCTATACAAAGTTTCAAGTGAAAATTCGAAAATCAGTTTTTCTGACTCACAGCATTTATTTAAAAAATGCAGCAATAAGCTAACAAGAGAACCACCCGAGGTGTCAAAAAGCTTTTCGATCGCGGATATAATGGTTAGAAAGGATATAACAAGAAGTGATATACCCTATCTAACCATTTTATCCACGACCGAAAAGCTTTTTGACACCTCGGGTGGTTCCCTCGTAACACCTGAACTCTTTTTAGGATATTCAAAACTCATTTGAGTCTAATAGTGTACATAGTTCTGACTCCGAAGCAATCAATCAGTCGAGGGATTTCCCTTGTAAGTTACGGAACTAAAACCTTTCGCAGAAAGAAAATTGAATTGGCATTCTTTCCAAACCCACTGTAACATATTATGAATACTATCTTTCATTGTAGATTTATCAGTACGTTGAAAGTCCCAAACTAAAGTATATGTTGTGGAATCCTTGGATCTACAATATATACATATATCAATTGTGTTTCACATTTTAATTTCAGCTTTATTTTTGACGATGCTCATTGTATAGATTAGAAGAGTCTGTATTTTGTAGTTTATCTAGAATCATTTGATTTCAAATTAAAAAACAAAAAAAATTTAATATATTTATTTTAGTTTGATTAGCCTAGCTTGTCTGATATCACATTTAATGAAAAGTATTTCACATCGTTTATTTCGTCTTCTTCATCTTTGGACAGAAGACGTTGAACAAATTGGTACAGTAGTTGGTGTTATGTTTTTTTTATTATTATTTCAATCAAATATAACAAGACTTGATCTTAATCGAAGACATGTACCTTTATTAAAAGCATTCAGTTTATTAATTGTTGCTCTATTTCATTTTCTTCATACAATACTTGAACCACAATTACTTAAAGTAGCAATGCAAACAATGACAACAAGAATGGTATTTGATCAAACAGATGATAATCAACAAGAAAATAAAGAAGAAAATAGAAACAAGTAAATCTTTTTTTGATTTAAATAAATCATTGAAAATAGATAAAATCTTTATAAATCAATAGTATATTCTATGAAAATAATTTGTTTTATTTTCAATTTGAAATGAGATTGATACTATATGTTAGATATTCAAATTATATTTAACTCATGAGTCTAATGTAAGTAGTCGATTAAGATTGTTTCAATTCTATTAATAAGAAAATACTTGTGATATATCGCTTATAGGTAAGAATGTTCGGGAACAAATTCTTTTGGTCCCGGTCTAGAGAAAACTATCCCAGGATTTATTGGTACCACATTTAAAAGAATTTTCAATATTCATTTTTTGGTGTATTTAATGATGACTAGCACTTTTTTATTGGGTCATTTTTCTTGAATTACGTTCCGAGTGATGATTTACGACATAACTGACTTAGAACTATAGGATATTATTTAGTTCTAGTTGGGACAACTATTTTCTCGTAGTTCCAATTCCAGTAACTACAACTAAAATTGGTTCCGAGCATCTCTACTTACGACTAATGAATTCTTTATCAAGTATTAGTTGAAAATTTTTATCCTAATGTGAAAGTACGATGAACGAGTCTTCTCCAAGAACTGTTCGCACAGTTTCTCTGATAAGAACTGATCTATCCGAAGAATTTTTTCTCGTTTTGAGAACGACATTTCAGTAACAGAACAAAGATTTTTGTAAAACACGATGTAAGAGGAGTGTTGAAGTGTATGGATAAAAATTTGGATCTATCCTACACAGATATCGATCCAAACCTTGTATCAATAATATCTCATTATAATATATGAATTACTTACTTATTGCATTTCTTAAGGATGATGAAGAAATGTGCACCAAAATAAAATAGATTTCATTTCATTAGCAAGAGCAGCTGTATCATGTTTCACATTTTAATCTCGTAGGAATTGTGTTAACAGCTTTTTATACCTGGAAGTGTCTTTCTTTAAAAATAAGATAAAAACTATTCGAACAGATAATGTTTTATCTACTGTGAGGGCAGCATCCCTTCCGATGTTTTGTAGTTATTATACTACGCACTGATATGTGATGCAAAAGTCTTGGAAAAAATTTCAACCTATATCAGACCATATTACCAGCTTCTAAACCAATCAAACATTTTTGTTGTTGGAAAGAGTAAAGTCTGAACTACAAGTTTTTGTACCAGAATTGTTTTTCCTGAACGAATCTACGAAGCAAGAAAAGCTAAATATCTCTAAAAACGTTTTTGCAATTTGAAAAGTTTCTACTTCTCAACTATCTTGAGCTACATGGATCGAATTCTAACAAAAAATACACGAATATATGACACATCGAAAGTTATATCGATATCAGCTTTGGTAGATTTTTTTTAATATTAGCTCTTGACTCTTTAATTAAAAAAACAGGAAATCGAAATTTTTGTAAAAATAGAGTCTTCTATAAGAATTATCTATTTTGAAGTAGATCAACTATAGTTTCGAGAAACCATGTGTGAACTGAAATCTTTGTATGTTATTTATTTCAAATACGTCAGATCTTAGAAACTTAACAGCCAAAAAAGAATTCAAAAAACCTCATTTATTGTTGCAATACGGTCAGGTAGTAACAAAGACTAAATTATACAGTGTCATCCACAAGGAGATATATTTTTCTAAAGAAACCAAGCTTAAATTTAACCTCGAATATACTATTGGAAAGAGCAGTCTTTGTGCTACAAAATCATCATTACGCGTGCGTTTTCGTTTTGCTTTTAATATAAATAAATGAAAAGAAAACAAAAAAATAATATTACGCGAAGATGAAGTCATGCAAGAACTTTTTTAGAGGTTTTTGACTTCTCCTGCTTCATAGATTCGTTCGGGAGAAATAAGTCTGGTACAAAATTTGTAGTTCAGACTTTGTTCTTTCCAACAAAAAAAACATTTGATTGGTTTAGAAGCTGGCAATATGGTCTAGCATACGATGACATTTTTTTCAAGAGTTTTACATCGCATGTTATGTGTCTATGCTTCTAAAAATATCATCATCCCTGACGAAATCTTAAATCCTCTTTCCAAAAAGATATCATATTCATGCATTTTACTATAGAAACGAAAAGTTATCTATGAGAAATTTTTTTTTTTGTATACTAAATTTCTTTATTTAGTTCATCATTATATTCGTCTTCTATTCTTCATTCATATCATCATCGACATGTTTATACATGTATATCAATATTATTCTTAGTTATTTTTTATATAATTTTACTATGGCGTTTAACAACATTTTCAACATGGCTTTTAGCTGTAACAGCATTTTCATTAGAATTAATTGTACGTCTTTTAGCATCACTTGCTCAATATACACTTTATGTTCTTGATGCCCATAATCGTTTATCAAATGTTGAATCATTTGATGAATATATTTTTTGGATAAAAGCTATAACATCATGTTTTGAATTTATTCTTGGTGTTTTTCTTTTATTTAATGGTTTTTATATTTTATGTTATGAATCACGTGGTGCATTACGTGCACTTATGCTTGCTATACATGCATATTTAAATATAATTAAAAATTTACGTCGTGGTTGGCAAATATTTCGTAATAGAAAATCAGCATGGGAAAATGTTAATCAATTACCATTAGCAACAATTAAACAAATTGAAGAATATAATGATATATGTTCAATATGTCATAATACATTAACATCTGGTATTGCATGTATAACACCATGTTTTCATATATTTCATCAAAAATGTTTACAAAAAGCATTTTATGCCACACAAAATTGTGCATTGTGTTCACGTCCTATTATTCTAGAACGTAATCAACATAGAGAATAAGAAGAAGAAAAAAAAAGAAATTTTATGTTTTTCCAATGTAAAATTTTGTTTTTTTTTTTGTTTTTGTTTTTTTTTCATTTATGTTTAATACAGAATAAAAAATCGAGCGCATCAATGTATTTTATTGGTTTGTGTTTTTTTTTCAGATATCAAAAAAAAAAAAATAGGAAAATGAATTATGATAGGAAAGAAAAAAGAAAAGATTTTTTTTTTCGTTTTTCCTATTGAATGGATATGTTCAACAGAATTAGAAGTTTTACAATGAATGAAAGATAATCTACTGGATTTATTTCATAAACATGGTGACCTTTTTTTTTTCCTTGAACAGATGGAAAATAAGGTAAAGAATTTATAGATTTCTATTAGATCAAGAATATGTAGTATTGATATTGTATTTGAGAGAGAGAGAGAGCAAAGATAAAGTTTTCATATGTATTGATTTTTGATTGAAGAAGTTTTAATAAATAATAACTGTAGTTCTTAATGAAAGAATAATCTCATTTAATGAAATACTTATGCGTCTATTATTTAATCGATCTGCTACAGATAAAATTTGATATAATTCTTAATTGGATGAGAAATATTGAAGATTAAGTATAAGTGTGATATCACTGCATTGAAATAATCTATGTCATCAATTTTTCATAAAAAAACCAACAGTTCGAATAGTTTACTCCTCTTTTTTTTTATCAAGGTTTTTATAATTTGTCTATTCAATTAATATTTTCAATTTTGAAGAGATCGATTTGAAACTCAACAAAGTTGATTTTAATGTGCTACAGTATATTATGTCCAAGATCATCAATGATGTCGCAACAGTCAACGCAATTCTGGCCTGCAAGGCCAAAATAGCATTGATTGTGTCAGATGGCGCCACAGTGATGCCTATTTTTGTAGTACCATCGTTAACACATAATTAAACTCGAGAACTAAGCGACTACAGCTAATACGGCTGGTACAAGCGGTTTGAGCACGCTCATAATAAGAAAGGAACGCGATTTCAACTGAAACCTAACATTTTTCTATGATTTAAAAAATACTCAGGGATTGAGATATAAAACAAAATTATGCAGAAGAACCGTGGTTAACTGGCAATTGGAATGGCATGAGAGAGGCACGAATCTGATTTCTAATAAACCTCTCTTGACTAGTTTGCTGGATTTTGTGCTGAAAAATCTCAAAAGTTTGAGATAGGGATGTTGAGTGTTGGTGTAAATGCTGACAGTGTGCCGCGGATACAGAGTCGGCTGAGATACTGCCTACTAAGGAGCTGCGGATCCTTCCAGACCCAGATTCGGCTGGATCCGAGTCTAAAGTTTTGTTTTCTTTCTCGGGTCTGGATCCGGGTCCACAAAAACGTGGATTCGCAGCTCCCTACTGCCTACACTAGCATCGGTGCTCATTGAAGCATTAACTACACTGACATTTGTGTTCGTCGCAACATTGAGACACCATCTCTATGAAAATATACTCTTTTTGTAGTGGTGTATTTCAGTGCTTCATCAAACACTGGTGCCAGTGTTCATTGACTGCATTGAGTTGGCGACGTTGCTTGTCAATAAACTGAAACTGCACATCCATAGACCAAAGTCAACATTATTTATGTGCTTTTCATATCTTCAAAATTTCTTTCCAAAAGCGTTTTGATTCTTTGAAAAAGCATTTTAGCAAAAGAGATACAAATGATCTCCTGCCTTTCTATTTTTAATAAGAAGTACAGATTTCCATCAGTCTCTATTAAAAAAATCTATCAGAATCTACCAAGGCCTACTAGTAGAACCCATCGGATCCGTGTTCAAAAATTCTTGGATCCGATGGGTTCTACTTACCAGGGTTTACTCGAGTCTATTAGAGTCTACAGACGTGGAACATTGTTAACAAGGGTATCGAAGCATTCAGCTCCCACTTCCATCCTCATTTTCGAATTGAAATAACTAAATTTCAAATAGAATCCTATTTATTCACTTTAAAAGAAAGCTACTATGAAAAAAAAAATTCAATTAATAAGTCTTCAAAAAAATTTTTTTTTTCTCATAATTATAAGAACTTCTCTATTTATTTAAGATGATTAATAAACAATTAATATTTATATTTTATTGTTTATTATCATTTTTTAAAACATCAATTCATTATATTCATCTTGTTTATTATGTTCAAACATATATATCAATATATAAAATAAATTCATATTCATTTTGGATAGCTGAAAGTTTATTTCTTATATGGAATAGTTTAAATGATCCTTTATTTGGTTGGTTATCAGATCGATATACATCATCTGTTAATCATCGTTTAAATTATTTAACATTATGTGGTCCATTATTTTGTTTATCATCACTTTGTTTTTGGTATCCATTAATTGAAATAAATTCATCATTACTTGGTTTACAACTTCTTTTTAGTTTATGTCTTTATGATACATTTTTAACAATGATTGATTTAAATTATAATTCATTATTAGTTGATATTTCTCTTCATAAACGAGAAACATTAAGTTCAGCAAGTGCAATTGGAAATGCTCTTGGTAAACATGAAATGGGTTTTGTTTGTTTAAGAATATTTCTTTCTTATTTAAGGTTCACTACCATTATTAATTTCATATCGATTTTGGAATTCATCAGATCTTCAACTATTTCGAATATTTGTAACAATTTTAACGATTATAATTACGTGTGGATTTATTTTTGTTACTCAATCAATGAAACAAATTTTATATTATTATAATGTTAAGTAAGACTATTGTATGTGTGTTTTTTTTGTGTTGATGTTAATAATATTTTCATTTAGATCTGTTGAAAGAAATATTTCTCAAGAACCTATTCCAAATCTTTGGCAATTTATATATAGTATTCATAAACATAAGAATTGTATTATCTTCAGTTTAGTAAATTTTATTCAAGTATGTATGAATAGAAAACTGATCATGAAGTTCATATGTAATTAAAATATAAAACATAATAGAAGAAATGCTTGTATTACTAACAAAAGGAATATGTCGTTCGATTTTATTAATTTATGCTTTGGATAATAAACACATGTTAATTTTTATATGTTAGAGTATAAGAGATCCGACTTTTTCATTAATAGTCAACTTTCTGAAGAAGATTTTGATTCTATGGTAGTTTGTCATTGTCTATGGACTATGAAGTCTAGAATTTATAGTCCTAAACTGATATATAATATCGTAATTAAATTTCGATTTTAAATATTCTCAATAGCAGAGATGTGTAAGACCAAGTTTTTTTTTTCTGTTCGACTTTTCGTAATATTTCGATAGATTTAAAATATCAATATTAGCATTTATCAGCGAGCTCATCTATGAATCCATTCTATAGTGTGAATCTTTATTTCTTATATATCAATCTCATCCTCGCACAGTGCTGTATGTGATTAAATCACATGCCTGGAAATTAAGTTTTGTCTTGAGACGTGTCAAATCCCTTGAAATTTTCATCAATTATTAGATCATTGTATAAGCATAATCGTGCGAATAATAGATGATATTTCCAGTAGAATAATCATCTCTCAGATTATGAGATTCATATTACAAATAATAAAAAAAAAAGTATTCAGATAACTATTGAATTTTATTCATATTTTTTAATTTACGCAGTAAGAAAAATAGACAATGTGTTTTTTTTTTGATTAATGAATTGTCCATTCGAGCAACATACCGCACATCTGGCTTCTGTATATTAATGTTCATGGATAAAATAATGAAAAAAAAATGCACGCATTGACCTACAAAACAAAAATTAGACCTTGGTTTGTTCACAGTGTATAAAAGCTATTTGTTGCTAACAAAAAGAAAAAAAAACAAGCAAAAATTTATTTCTTGATCTTTTTATCGATGAAAAAAGATTTTAATAAATTGAAATAATCAACATAAATTTTCTTTTAGGTATTTCATTGTCATTTTAATAGTAATTCTATTCCATTAATTCTCAATATATTCATTCCATCATCTTCCTTTGGCTCAATTCTTCTTGGTAAAAACTCAATTTTTCTCTTTTATTATTTTAATTTTGATTTTTAGGTACTTCATTTCTTATTCCACATCTAAGCAATATATATTTTGTTTATTTATGCAAATTACAAGGGACTTATTATGTTATTCGTAAATTATTTTATGTTAAATTATTGTTTACTTTATATTTATTCATTCAAGGAAATGATTCTATTTGGTTGCTGTGTCTTTTTCTTGTTAGGTAATAATAATTAAATAATATAATAAAAAAGAAAGAAAATGAATTATTTATTTATTTTTTAGTAATCGAATGTTTACAGAAGGTATATGTAAATTATTTGATTTAATTATAACAGATTTAATTGATGAAGATCAATTTCTACATAAGAGAAGTTCTCCATTACCAGCATTAATCTTTGGTACAATGGCATTTTTATCTAAACCTGGTCAAACAATAGCACCAATAATAAGTTCACATTTATTTTATTCATTAAATAATCAACAAAAAACTCTATTTAATAATATTATTATGATACCAATTATATGTTCATTATGTCAAATAATTCTTTGGAGAAAATTTACATTACATAGTTATCAATTAAAGTCTCTTCGCTCAATATTAAAACATTCTAGTCAACATATGATTATTTAATAATAATAATAATAATATTTGTTTTTTTTTTTGGTTTTATGGTGAAAGGTCATTATTATTTTTATTTTTTAGATTATACATATGTTACAAAAACGCGAATAGTTTTGATATATCAAATGTTTTGCTTTAAAATGGTAATATTCAATTGTTATTTTTGTTTTTGATCAAATTTTTATTTAGGGTCATGGCGTCTCATCTGATACAGTCGGGCATACAATCGCTGATTCGAATACAAATGAACATTATCTTGGTCTTGTAAATGTATGTATTCAGAAAGAAATTTACACTCTAATTTATGAGAAATCGAAAATCATATTTTATGATCGATTACATCTGTTATGAAGAAAGCGAAATCAGGTACCCAAAGGTCGGTTATAATGTGTCCTTACGTATCGACAAGATTGAGTTTGATTCCTTTATTAGAGCATAGCATCAACGAATAATCAATAGAATGACAAGAATACTGCTAAAAACATGACCGTCCATCAACATATACCAAATAGAACAAAACAAATAAATTCCAAAAGGAATAACGATTTAGTACTCAATAAAAGCGTATTTGCTATTGTTGAATATACGACTGTCTATTGTTTGTTTTTCTTACTGATAAATGTCACACTGCAAGTTCGCTAACAACTTGGCGCTTATTATGTTTCGATGGTTTATATTTAGCTACTTTTCGAAGGTAAAAAATGATGTCAACTCATCTTTCGATATAATATGTAATGTGTCGGCAGTAGTCTGATACTGAATCAGTCAGCTCTCTCCTAACCGTCATTCTACTATGTTGTATTGATAGTTGTTCTTCGATCGGCAATCTACTGAAGGTACTGCGAACAAACGTGCAATATGGATACATTGATGATCTAATCGGTCTTAACATTTTCACCTAATATATAATTTATAATGGCAAAAGAATACAGATAGCGCAAATGAATCAAATATGAATGTTATGAAAAAATGGCTATATCCTGATTGCAGACGTAGCAACTTGCTTTACTTAAATCAAAATACTTTTCATTTGCGACTGATATGCGTCTTCTAGGATGTGTTAAATATTGTTGAGCTTGTTCCTATTCAACTCGAATCATTTTTGACTCTTGGATATATCTTATCCCGACTCAAAAGATTTAGATGTGTTTAACAATGAGGAAAATGCATCATCTTTAATATACATACGAAGAATATAATCTGTTAATTTAAGAAAATTTTGATTTACATTACCCTCTATAATCGAGCTACCTACACTAATCATTTTACTATATTTATTTTCGTTTATTTCCGTAATGCAGACATTTTCTTTTCCTCCAATTGAGGAAAAACATCCGCAAAGCTTAAACTAGAAGATACTAATCAAGAGAGCTTTTCGATATGAGTAACGATTAGATCAAATAATAACTTTATTCAATAACCGGTTTTTAAACAATATGATTCAATTTTCCCTGAGAATTGTAAATCTTTAAGTTTAACATTGATAATAAGAAGTAATTGATTTTATAAGAAATTTTCATTTCATTTTTCTTTTAGTTTGGTAATACGTGCTATTGTAATTCGGTGCTTCAAGCTCTTTATTTTTGTAAACCATTTCGTGAACGTGTTTTAAATTATCGTTTAATACAAAAAAATAAAAAAGATAATTTATTAACATGTCTTGCTGATTTATTTCATATGATTGTAAATGGTAAAAAACGAACTGGTGCATTACAACCAAAAAAATTTATCAATAAATTACGAAAAGAAAATAGTAATTTTGTTCTATAGAAAATAAATAAATTTAAATTTTTTTTTTTTTTTTTAGACACATTTGATAATGATATGCAACAAGATGCACATGAATTTCTTAATCATTTATTGAATACTTGTGGTGATATTCTTCTTGGTATAAGAATAATGATTTATTTTTAAATATTTATTAATTATTTATTTTATTTTAGCTGAAAAGAAAGAAGAAAAAGATAAACATGATAAACAACGTAATAAATCAAATAATATTACTGTTAGTAATAATTATCTACAAACTAATAATGATGAACAAAATAATCGAATAACAGCATCAATTAATTTAAATACAAATAATGATATAACTACCGTTCCTAATTCATTGACAGAAGAAACTTGGATACATGAACTTTTTCAAGGAACGCTCGTATCAACGACGAAATGTCTTAACTGTGAAACGGTATTGAAAAAAAACTATCATTGTTTTTAAAAATAGAATTATCTATATGTATAAGTTATAGATTGTAAATAGGAATGCACCAGTGCCAGTAACTGGGTACTTAGTCATTTGATGTTTATTAAAATGAGTCGGACTTTTTCCATTTTTCATTTCAGTATCGATTTTACAGGAAACATTTTTCTAAAACAAGCTGTTATAGAAATCCATTATCTAGAAGGATTATCTATAGCAAAGAAAATAATTCAACAGATGATAATAAACGAAAACTATGCCTGAATAGATAGCTCGCAAAAGTTTAATGAAGACATATGAAATTTATTTATAGTATTCTAAATTATAACGATTGATACATAGAAATATATGATTAGCCAATGAATTCCATGTTATAGCTTGTATCAGTACTTCAACAGCCTAAGGATCACTGTATCACAATATACTAGAAAAGAAGAAAGTACAACTCGACTAATGGACTAAAGATCAAATGACTGAGTACCCAGTCGGACTGGGACTGATGCATCCCTAATTGTAAAAGATAATCTAATAGTCCCATGTGATAACTATCGCCGATATACCGATCGGTCTAAGGTGTCCTATATCGTTGTTTTTTTTAAAAAGTGTTGTATCGCAGTGTATAATATCAAAATGGATCAATATTTTTGAAGTCTGTTAAAACCTGAGTCGTTTTTCAATGCATTCTGATAATGTTGACGCATCTGAGGTCAAATCGACTCCAGTTATGAAATAAATTTTTACTATAGATGGCGCTGCAAACATTTTTATTAGCAAAATATATTCTAAAACTGTTGTCTTCTCGATTAATTTGAATTCTTTCTCATAAATAATTTCAGTTTGGGTAGAAAACACTCTGCAAACGTTCATAGCTGGAACTGAAAATCGTAAATGCTACCGAAGGTAGTGCGAACAAAAACAAATGTGCGACATGGAAAGATATTTATACTTTAAATGAGCAAGCGCTCTACTCAGTTTTTGATGTGAATGTGGACTGATTCAAATAAAATTATTTGTAGTTTTTTAATTTGTTTCTTAATGTTAGGCTCAAGTATTGTGTCACCATGATGGATATATAAAGATATTTTGAATCAGTAAATTATTTCCCTTTTTTTTTGTAGTATGAGAAAATACATGATTACTTATTGGAAAAATTCGATAGGATTTTATCTTTCAATTCACAAATCAGAATAGTTTTCTACGAAATACATACAATGATCCCAAAAAAATTGGTCATACAGATTTAATTTCAATTTTTTTCCGTAATGGTAACTTGTGTAAAGAATCAAAATAGTGACTTGAATAGAGAAAATTGTTTCCAACAAGAATTGGAGGGAAATAAAATCTTCACAGTATTCTCAAAATTCAAGTTCCCTAGAAAACTCGAAAATAAAAGTTTCTTTGATTACACAGTGTTACAGAACAACTCTTTATTAAATGTCACGTCTCCAAATTCTCCACAACATTTCTTAACGAAACTTCTATGTGTCTTTTGCTTCAACGTACTGATTGTCAAGGTTTTTTAAGTTGAGCAACAGCGTATGAAATCAAAAAAAGCACAGCTTGGTAAAAGAACGTTTTTTAAAGAGTGTATCGTAGTACTAGGATATGAACCTCTCAGTATGAGGTAGGATAGGACAGAGCAAGGATAAAAATCAGTTCACGAGATGAGGCTAAGGCAGTGAACTTCAAATTTTGGTAGGACTCTAAATAACATACAGGCTTTTAGAAAAGCATGAATGTAGTTTTGTTGTAAAGAGTAGCAGATTTGGACCCTTATCCGGCGGGATCCTTTTAATTGTCGAATTGTTTTTCACTCTAAAAGTTTTTATTCATTTTAGGTAAATAGTAAAGATGAAAATTTTCTTGATTTATCAATTGATGTTGAAGAAAATACATCGATAACAACTTGTTTACGAGTATTTAGTAATATTGAAACATTATCTGGTGAATCGAAATATTATTGTGAAACATGTCGAAGTAAACAAGAAGCAACAAAAAGGTTAAATTAATTAGACAAAAAAAAAATATATATATATATATATTCGATATTTCTATTCAATAGAATGCGTATTAAAAAATTACCACGTATATTAGCACTTCATTTAAAACGTTTTAAATATTTTGAAGTATTTAAACAATATAAAAAATTATCTTATCGTGTTGTTTTTCCATTCGAACTTCGACTTCTTAATACGGTTAGATATTCAAAATATTTTTTTTTATAAGAAGAATTTTGTTTATTTTTTTTTCTAGTCCGAAGATTGTACAAATAGTGATCGTATATATGATCTTGTTTCATTGGTTGTTCATTGTGGTATAGGACCAAATCGTGGTCATTATATAGCTGTTGTTAAACGAGATGGTTCTTGGCTTGTTTTTGATGATGAAACTGTCGATGTAAGGATTTATTATTTGGAATTAAATAAAGAACACTACAGCAAAAGAACGTCAATCTGCCATTTCTTTAGGTTCTCTACATTCTTTTGAATAATAACTATGGCAACGATAATTTTTTCTTCTATATACTAAACATGAAAACTGATACTCTAGATCAACGTAATTTTTCTTGCTCTACAAAGTAACATATTAATCATGTTTATCGATTAGTTTATGTAAAGTAACAGAGGTGCGATATCATACACTTGTCTCACTCTACATAAATTAATCGACAAATATGATTAATATATTATTTTGTCGAACATGAAAAAATTACACCGATTTACAATATTAGCTTTCATATTAAGTTTATAAAAGAAAACGATTATTGTTACTATAGTTATTATTCAAAAGTGACATACACATCTAAGAT